TCAGCACAGAGCCCGACGCGGGGCTCAAACTCACGGACCGTGAGATCATGACCTGAGCCGAAGTCGGCCGCTTAACTGACTGAGCCACCCAGGCGCCCTCAGAAAGTGACATTTTTAATAGTTTCTTCAAGAAATCTAGAGTGCTTTTGAAGATGGATATGGAAAACTTTATTATTTTTTGTTGTTGAAATGTTTTTGAATTGTTATTGCATGTGGAATGGAGTAGAAGTAAGAATTAAGCTTAAGTGCAATTTGTAAAATTGAGGCAAAAGGCCATTAACATAGATATATTTAGTGTAAGTTTCAATTAATCCCCTGATTGTTAGGAACTAACTCCTCAGGTACAAGTTTCCATTTTTATTTTTTAGGGGAAAAGTCAAAAATACTTTAATTCAGCTAAAGTAATGCCTAGTTTCAGTTTTGTAACTTCATGCCAGCAAAATGTTTTGAAAAAAAATGTGTTTTTTTTTTTTTTTTAAACGTTTATTTATTTTTGGGACAGAGAGAGACAGAGCATGAACAGGGGAGGGGCAGAGAGAGAGGGAGACACAGAATCGGAAACAGGCTCCAGGCTCTGAGCCATCAGCCCAGAGCCCGATGCGGGGCTCGAACTCACGGACCGCGAGATCATGACCTGGCTGAAGTCGGACGCTCAACCGACTGCGCCACCCAGGCGCCCCTTGAAAAAAAATGTTTTAGTGCCAATAAACCATCTCTTGGAACCTGAATTCCCTTTCCATCTAAATAATAACATTCCAGATATTCATGTAAAATTTTCTTCATGACAGATATGGGAGGATATGTGAGAATTTTTCACATTGCTAAAATTCCCCAATATTTATACCCAGATATATGTTTTTTATATTTTGGTTTGGGTTTTTCTTTTTCCTTATAACTATAAAAGCAGTGTATATTGGAAAAATACATAGTATATAATGACAGTAAAAGTGTTCTAACTGTGCCTCCATAACTATTATTTATAGTTTGATGTATGTTCTTCCATTTTTTCTAATTATAAACATTTTATATATAAACATTTTTCCTTATCTTTAGTATGTAATAAAAATTATATTTGTAAAAGTCTGTAAAGATTAATAGAAATTTTGCCTTTGAATATTCCTAGAATGCAATATTTGGAAACCTCCAAGAAAATTCAGTGAAACATTTTTACTCATACTTTTCACACATTTCTGCTTCAAGCTTGGTCTCTGTTGTGTCAGTCCAGAGGACTTTTGTGCTTAGGACATAGTATTTACCCTCCTTGTGCTGATGACACCCATTTCGTGGAAGTAATGCTTCTCTAGCAGTATCTCCTTATTTCCTTCTTCCAGTCCACTCCTATTATAATCATAACAACTTCCTAATTGATCCATGTATCTCAGGAGTCTGTGCTACACGTAAGTACTAATTTAATATTACTGAAAGTGCCCATACTATTACTGCTCTCACCCTCTAGAGTCTGATCTTAACAGAAATCTCAACTTTGAAGAGACCCAGTACATTATCTAGCTCTACTTTGAAATTTTGGATAAGAAAACTGAGGTCTAAAAAAGCTTCTTGCAAGGGAGTACCTGACTGGCTCCATCGGAAGAGCGTGCGACTCTTATCTCAAGGGTCGTGAGTTCAAGCCCCATGTTTGGTATAAAGATTACTAAAAAAACAAACAACAAAAAAAACCTTGATAAAATAATTTAAAAGTTTCTTGCATGAAATCACTTAGTTAATTGAGGAAGGTAAACTAAAATAAGATTTTCTACTTCTATTTTATTTCCAGTGCTTATTCATATTTAAGTTCCTAGATTGGCCTTCAAAAACCTATGGAACACAAAGATCTGATTTCTGTATTATAAATAGTCAAAACTTAGATTGTGATGATGATTTTACAGTGAATATTTTAAATGAGTGAATTGTATGGTATATGAATTATCTCTGTAAAGCTGTTTAAAAGTCAGTAACAGATTTGAATTATAACTGGGAGGTAAAACAACATTATGAAGAGTGAAAAGCATAGTGGATGTGGAAAATAAAAGAAATGGGGAAATACATAGTTTCTAGTATGCTTTGTAATCAGAGTAATATTTTGTAATACCTTACAGCATGGATTTTATAAGCATGATATCCTTGAGTATTGAAAACCTGCCCACTGCTTCTTTTTTTTTTTTTTTTTTTTTAAAGGTTTGTTTTTGAGAGAGACAGAGACAGAATGCGAGTGGGTTGGGGCAAGAGAGAGGGAGGCACAGAATCCGACGCAGGCTCCAGGCTCTGAGCTGTCAGCACAGAGCCCAACGCGGGGTTTGAACTCACCCGACTTAAGTTGGGCACTCAACCCACTAAGCCACCCAGGCACCCCCCCCACTGCTTCTATTTTTAAGAAACAATCCTTGTCCTTGTTCTCTTCTGCTCCTAAGCTGCTTCTAGGCAAATTGTGACGATCTAGAAAGAGAAGCATATAAAATTTGGGCTTAGCATTCTTCATCTTCTCACATGCTTCTTCCTCCAACCCAGTACTCCTTCCTTTCCCTCTCTTTGGTGATTCCACTCCCATTTTGTAAAATTCAAAATTTCTTTCCCTCTCCACTGATTTCCATTCCACCCCAAAATACCAATTTTCTCGGTAGGCTCTTACTTAAGTGGGTTATTGGATTAATTTATAATACATTTCTGAAATTTGTATTTTAGAAGATTATAGAACAGGGGTCAGCACACTTCTAATATGAAGAGCCAGATGTGAATATTTTCAGTTTTGTAGGCCTTACACTGTTGCTGCAGGTATTCAACCTTGCTGTTACAGGGTGATATAGCCACAGATAAAATGTAAATGAATGGATGAGACCTGATTTGACCCTAGGCAGGCTAGATCAAGCCATAGTTTGCCAGCCCATCTTAGAGAATCTGAATTTAAAGGCTGAGTATTAAGATGTAATGGGATGGAGAAATTTAAATACAGTAAATTTAGGCAGTTACATCCTCTCCTTTTACCACTAATAAAAGTGTTGTCATTTCTTTACTATTTATTCTTCCAAGGTTATCTGAGAAATAGGGTAGAACGTTGGCACTTTTGAAAGTTTACCAAACCTCATTTAAAAAATACCAGACTTGGGGCGCCTGGGTGGCGCAGTCGGTTAAGCGTCCGACTTCAGCCAGGTCACGATCTCGCGGTCCGTGAGTTCGAGCCCCGCGTCAGGCTCTGGGCTGATGGCTCAGAGCCTGGAGCCTGTTTCCGATGCTGTGTCTCCCTCTCTCTCTGCCCCTCCCCCGTTCATGCTCTGTCTCTCTCTGTCCCAAAAATAAATAAAACGTTGAAAAAAAAAATTAAAAAAAAAAAAATACCAGACTTTACATACCCACTAGAGACTATTGGCATGAGGATTGAGATTATTATTCAGATTAGGTTGATGTGCATGTATGTATAAATATAAACGTTAATTGTGTATGGACGGATGCAAATTATGTGTTGTGTAGTGTGAGTCTGTATTATTTTAGTATATATACTATGGACTGCATTTGGATAGTCTCTAAAATATTCCAAACAAATTTATTAAAGAGGAATATGAAAGGAGACATGAATTTCAGTACATGAAGCAAAAATAAATGCTGGATTATTTGGCCCTGCTAAAGTAGATAAAGACAAATGAAGATCAATGTGGCTAACATCTCTTGCCATAATATTCTTGATTGATTGAAATATTTTACTTCAGAGGCACCCTTGTGGCTCAGTCCGTAGACCGTCTGACTTGATTTCAGCTCAGGTCATGGTCTTACAGTTTGTTGGGTTTGAGCCCCATGTTGGGCTCTGCTAACAGCGTTGGAGACTCTCTCTACCCCCTTTCTCTCTCTCTCACAAAAATAAGGAAACATTTTTTTAAAAAAAGAAATATTTTACTTCAGTCTAATATTTACCTTGTGTTTTGAGCATATGATGATTGTTCATGTATAAAGGGAATGTAGTGTTGGAACAATGACATTGTTTTAGATTCAAGGCAATTATGTCATGATCCATAAAATTACATTTCAACTAATATTTCCATATAACAATGGTGAGAAAAATTTGCATTTGCTGTGTCAGTGTTTTGCAAATTACTGGATAATGCAGAATAACAATCACTCACTTAATAGATTTCTTAGAAAAATAAAACATTGGGGCGCCTGGGTGGCTCAGTCAGTTTGGTGTCCGCCTTCAGTTATGGTCATGATCTCGCGGTCCATGAGTTCAAGTCGCGTGTTGGGCTCTGTGCTGATAGCGCAGAGCCTGGAGCCTGCTTCTGATTCTGCCTCTCCCTCTCTCTCTACTCCTCCCTTGCTCATGCTCTGTGCCTCTCTCTGTCTCTCAAAAAATAAACATTAAAAAAGAAAAGAAAAAGAAAACATTATTAACTCTGGTCAGTTTGAGCCACTCAGGAAAATAAAATGGCGTATTATCGCCCAAAATGTTTTATTTTTACTTGGAAATTATGTCGTTTCATTGTATGTCATGAACAGATATTTTAAACAACTCTGACCTTATTAAACCTGCATTTTACTTCCTGTCAGATTTGTGTTTTTCCAGGTCAACATTTGAATATTTTACCTTTACTATTAAGTTAGAACTGATCCAGATAATAAATCAGTTAACTAACACATTGACCTTTCTTCCCTCAATAAAAATGATTACATAGTATACCACTTTCTACCTCTTCCCTCCTTGTAACTCCTTCCGGATAGTTAGCATTCGTTTATTCTTTCAACAAATAGTTGGGTAATTGTTATGTGCCAGGCACTGTTTTAAGCATTGGGAACAGAATAGTGAGCCAAACTACCTCTGCCCTCATACAGCTTGTATTCTAGAGTTAGAAGAAAACAATAAGCAATTGTTTATTGTTTGATATAAAAGTTCTATAGTATGTGAGAAGATCAGTGCTGTGGACAGAAGCAGAGCAGAGTCACGAGGGATTAGTCTTGTATATAGTAGTTCTACTCTTAACACAAATGTTGTCCTCTTATTTCCTCTTTTCAATTTATAGTTCCAATGACAGGATTCACACAGAGAGCAACCATTGATCCCGAACTGAATGAAATACATGTCTTATCTGGACTCAGCAAAGACAAGGAGAAGAGGGAGGAGAATGTCAGAAATTCATTCTGGATTTATGACATTGTGAGGAATAGTTGGTAAGGAGCTCTTGTCTGTGTTGCAATCCCAATGTAATATTTGTTTGAGGTTGTTGGTTTATTCAAAAGAAGAGGAATATGGAAGGCTTATGTCAATTTGTGATGTCATGCATTTAAGTGTCAGTGCAGGCACACCTCATTTTATTGCACTTGGCAGATAATTGCAGTTTTTACAAGTTGAAGGTTTGTGGCAGCTTTGTGTCGAACATGTTGACATTTTTCTAGCAGTGTTGGCACACTTTGTGTTTCTTTGTCACATTTTGGTGATTCTCAGAATATTTCGAACCCTTTCATGACTGTTGTATTTGTCGTGGTCATCTGTGATCAGTGATCTTTGATGTTACCTTTGTAATTGTTTTGGGGCACCATGAGCTGCACACATAATGAAATGGCAAACATAATTGATAAATGTATGTATTCTGACCATTCCACCGACCAGCTGTTCCCTCACCTCTCTCACTTTCCTTGGATCTCCTGATTCCCCGAGATATAACAATATTGAAATTAGGCCAGTTGATACCCCTACAAAGGCTTCTAATTGTTTGAGTCAAGGGAAGAAAGATAGGCCTCTTTTGCTGAACAGCCAGGTTGTGAATGTGGAGGAAATGTTCTTGGGAGAAATTAAAAGTGTGCCTCTGGTGAACACATGAATGATGAGAAAGCAAAACACCTGATGGAGAAAGTTTTAGTGGTTTGAATAGAAGATCAGACCAGCCACAATACTCCCTTAAGCCAGTGCCTGCTCCAGAGCAAGGCCCTGATTCTCTTCAATTCTGTAAAGGCTGAGAGCTGAGGAAGCTACAGAAGGAAAGTATGAAACTAGCAGAGGTTGGCTCCTGAGGTTTAACATAAGAAGCCATCTCCATAACCTAAAAGCACAAGGTGAGGCAGCAGGTGCTGATGTAGAAGCTCTAGTAAGTTATCTAGCAAGATCTAGCTATGATCATTAACAAAGTTGGCTACACTGAACAGATTTTCATTGTAGATGAAACAGCCTACTATTGGAGGAAGATGCCATCGAGGACTTTCATAGCTAGAGAGGAGAAGTCAGTGCCTGGCTTCAAAGTTCAAAGGGACAGGCTGACTGTCTTGTTAGGGGCTAATGCAGTTGATGACTTTAACTTGAAGACCATGCTCCTTTACCACTCTCAAAATTCTAGGGCCCTTAAGAATTATACTGAATCTGCTGTGCCTGTGCTCTGCAAATGGAACAACAAAGCCCAGAACACAGCACATCTGTTTATAACATAATTCACTGAATATTTTAAGCCAACTGTTGAGACCTACTGCTCAAAAGAAAAAGATTCCTTTCATTCTAGATGCCATGAAGAGCATTCAGATTCGTGGAAAGAGGTCAAACTACCAACATGAGTGGGAATTTGGAAGAAGTTGATTCCAACCTTCCTGGATGACTTTGAGGGGTTCAAGATTTCAGTGGAGGAAGTAACTGCAGATGTGGTAGAAATAGCAAGAGAACTAGAATTAGAAGTGGGACCTGAAGATATGACTGCATTGCTGCAATCTCTCATGATAAAGTGGTTTCTTGAGAAGGAATCTACTCCTGAAAGATGCCGTGAAGATTGTTGAAATGACAACAAAGGATTTACAGTTATTGCATAAACTTAGTTAATATAGCAGTGGCAGGGTTTGGGAGGATTTACTCCAATTTTGAAAGAAGTTCTAATAGGTAAAATGTTAAACAGCATCATGTGCTACAAATAAATCATTCATGAAGAGGAATCAGTTGATGCAGCCAATTTCATTACACTTGAACCTTTATCAGCACGAGGATTCAACCCACACACAGTTGGAAATCTGTGTATAACTTGGCTTCCTAAAAACCCAACATCTGTGGCACTTAGGTGGCTCAGTTGCTTAAGGTTCCGACTCTTGATCTCAGCTCAGGTCTTGATCTTAGGGTCATGAGTTCAGACCCTGCATTGGGCTCCATGCTGGGTATGAAACCTACTTAAAACAAAACAATCCCAGGAAAAACCCAACTACTAATAGCCTACTATTGACCAGAAACCTTATCAATAACATAAATTGATAACAAAAAAAGTTGATTCACACATATTTTGTATGTTTTATATATTATTTACCATATTCTTACAATAAGGTAAGATAGAGGAAAGAAAATAGTACGAAAACCGTGAGAAAAGAGAAAATATATTTACCATACTGTATTGTAAAAACTGCATTGTAGTGGATCCACATAGTTCAAACCAATACTGTTCAAGGGTCAACTGTATTATCTTATTTTAAGAAATTGCCACAGCTCCCCCATCCTTAAGTAACCACCACTCTTATCAGTTAACAGCCATCAATACTGAGGCAAGCCCCTCCACCAGCAAAAAAAAAATTATGACTTGTTAAAAGCTCAGAAGATGGTTAGCCTTTTTTAGCAATCACGTAGTTTTTGATTAAGGTATATGCATAGTTTTTTTTGACATATTGCTGTTGCACGCTTAACAGACTACCTTATGGTATAAAAATAACTTTTATATGCATTGAGAAGCAAAAGAATTCCTTTGAATCACTTAACTACAATATTTGCTTTATTGTGGTGGTCTGAGGGCGCCTGGTGGCTCAGTTGGTTGAGTGTCTGACTCTTGATTTGGTTGAGTGTCTGACTCTTGAGCTCACAGTTCGTGAGATTGAGCCCATGTCAGGCTCTGTGCTGACAGTGTGGAGCCTGCTTGGGATTCTCTCTCTATCTCTGCCCCTCCCTCATTCGCACTCACACATCTGTGCTTGCTCGCTCTCTCTCAAAATAAATATTTATATAAAAAAATATTGTGGTGGTCTGGAACCAAACCTACAATATCTCTGAAGCATGCCTGTATTGGGTAAAGAAGTCAATATTGGTGCCTGTGTTTACAATGATGTTCAGTGAATGGATTTTACCTCTGAATTTTTCAGTTAGTAGATGATTCTTGGTCCAGAAATCAAGAGAATTATACTTTAGTCTAGAATTTGCTACCAAGTAGATGTGTGAACATGAGAAAAATGGTTTTTTTCATGTTTCCAGGTGGTCTTAGTTTTGGTAAAGGAAGTGATTTCAGTAGAGCAGGGTAGGGGGTATTATTTAGTGTTTTCAAACCGGGACCTTTTTGTTATAGAGTATCTGCACGTTTTGCTTCAGAAAACACTGGCCTAAAGAATCCTGTTCTAATATTCTGTGATTACTGCGTAAGTGGATATTTTACAAACACAGGCGCTTCAGAGAACTATGTGCCCAGAGCAACTAAGGAAATTACTCTTTTCTTTTTTTAAGAATTTGTTTTTAATTATTTTTGAGAGAGAGGGAGAGCACAAGTGGAGGAGGGGCAGAGCGAGAAAGGGAAAGAATCCCAAACAGACTCCATGCTGTCAATGCAGAGCTCGATATGGGGCTTAATCCCACGACCTGATCCCATGACCTGAGCCAAGACCCAGAGTTAGACACTTAGCCTAGTAAACCACTGATGCACCCTAGAATTTATTATTTTCTAAGTAGAACATTTATATTAAGCAGTAAAACGGAAAGAAATCTGTGAGTTTTTCATTGTGAATAAATAGATGGGATTATCTTCTCTTTCAGACTTTGGTTTGAGCTTTCATATATGCTGTTTGTGTTTCATAACATGAAGTAGGTTGTTCTTAAGTGAGGTTTTGGATCGACACTAAAAGAACATAAGAACTTAATTCTAACAAATTCACATTATTGTATGAGAATGACCAGAACTTTTAAGATTTGATGTGAACAAATTTATAAATTTTTTGTTGGTAATTAGACGTCCAGTTAATTTGCTTGCTAAGTATATAAACATTATGTATGTTATAGATAGAATATATATAAACATTATGTATGTTAAGGATAGAATGCCTTAAAAGTACTGTCTTACAGGTCTTGCGTCTATAAGAACGATCAAGCTGCAAAAGATAATCCAAGTAAAAGTCTTCAGGAGGAAGAGCCATGTCCAAGATTTGCCCATCAGCTTGTATATGATGAGTTACATAAGGTACCCTAACTGCATCGGCCTGTAAACTTTCCAAGACTTATAATCTGAAAGAATCCCAAAATAGGTTTCTTACTATTTTTAAGTGTATTTGAATAAAAAGTTATAATACATAGCAGACATCCATAGAATATGTAGCAGACATTCAATATCATTTCTCTCTAAACCCCTTAATAGAATAAACACTTTCCATAGTCCAAAATTCCTGGCACTTATTCTGTTTGCTTTGTAGCTGCATAGATCAGATTCATAGTATAACCTATTATTTCTGCACTACGAATACCCAAGTAAAAGATGTACAGTTTTTAGCATTAGGATACCTTGTCCCATGATATGAAAAAGTATATGTAACTTCTGACTTTAGATTTTCCCATTGTGTACGAAGTCTTTCTTTTTTCCCTTATGAGTGATGTGTCTTTTCAATTGGCCTCATGAAAACAGTCTTGCATTCTGAAGTTTTAGAGTCACTAAATGTTCAGAGTGGTTTCTTTAAACTATGTCTCCCTTAAACTTTACATGTAGTTCAGTGAATGTTTTCAAAATTTCAGGAACTGCTTTAACACTTTGTATAAGTACAGAATATCACTAAAATTATAATAGTGAAATCATTATTGTATTCCTTTTTCATTTCCTTTTTTTGGTATTGAATAATATAATATTTTAAAAAGTATCACCAATTATATACATCATTTAATATTTGGCAGTAAGCCTAAAAAAATTAAGATGCTAAAATTTAAAAAGTTTCTAGTTCCTCTTGACCTTCAGTGATTCAACATGTGTGTCAGAGTTTTATTAAACCTCTTGTTTGTTATTATGACCAGCACTTGTTTAAATTAATAATCCCCATATTTATTGCCCTAAATAAACTCTGTATCTTGGATTAGCTTCTTACTGTCATTGCTTTTGCTTCAGGTCTTCCATTGTCAGTATAATTGTGGTAATGCAACTCATTTTAACATAAAATGCAGAGTATTTAAGGAAGTAGCCATAGGATTTTAAAGTAAAATGGGAACAAGAAAAATCAAAAGAAACATTTGGTAGAAATGCAGTAATGTTTTACTACTGTTACACACGGCTACCAAAGTGAAGAAATTTTATTAGGACTTCCGTAGCTTCTTGAGTATGCTTGCATCTTAAAATGTGGCTTGTTTTGTTTATTATAGGTTCACTATTTATTTGGTGGGAATCCAGGAAAATCTTGCTCCCCAAAGATGAGATTAGATGACTTCTGGTCACTGAAGTTATGTAGGCCTTCAAAAGATTACTTACTGAGGCACTGCAAGTACCTGATTAGAAAACACAGGTATAAAAATAATTCACTGAAAACTTTTATTTAACATTATCAGCTACTGTTGGTATTACCTAAATTTTGAAGATATGACTTTGTCTCTGGAAATTTAGTAATATGACAGTGTACGTACTGTGAAGATCATGAGTTTTATAACTACCCTGTTGTTTTCCTTATTTTTGCTTTCCTCTTTCAAAGGAAGATACAAAGTGAAAATACGTACTGATGCTAAAATTTTCTAAATATAGAACAAGGAAATTTTGAAACTGTTAAATGGAAGAAATTTCTATGAAGGTGATGAGCCTAACCTTCCAGTAACTACTCACGGCCTAATCACTACAAATCACATCAGTTCTAGATTCTTGCTGTATGCCTGGCCTGTTGATAGCTTTCTTAACAGTGGATGTGATGGTATGGTTGACTAAATGGTATCTGATCTGGTGTTTCACAATACAACTTCAAATATGATTGTGATTTTACGTCCATTATCTTTGCCATATAATTGTAAAATCATGTCAGCAAACATTTTCATATATATCTCCTGGTCATGTTTGCTTTTTAGTAGTGAGTGATAAGCTACTGAAAAATGTAGAAAAGCATGTGTGTCCTTTTGGTTATTGATAGTGTTCTGTGGTAATAAAAATTTATAGTTTGGAAAGAGTTTAGACTTTGATGATAATAGCTACTGTTTATTGAGCAATTTTTGTGTGCTAGATCTTGTATATTATTCCTATAATAAGGTAATTGAATAAGTTCTGTTATTATCACTATTTTGCAAAAGAAAAAATGAGGTGTTTTTAAATGGGTTATATAATTCATCTAGGATCACTCAGCCATAAGCGACACAGCCAGGTTGTGATCTGACTATTGTAACTCCAGAGTTCATCACCTTACTGCCACTGTGACTACCACACATGCATACACAGATGTCTTTGTGTATACTTATATACACAGACACGTTCAGATGTCTGTTATATATAATGTATTTATGTTTTGTATAGAATATAAGTAGGCATAAGTTATTAGACTGTTTTCCTTTATCATATCATGTTTACTTACTGTTCCTTTCTCTGCTTTCCCAAGTTGTGCCTGAGAGGAAAATTAGTAACAGAAGCTAGGTATTCTGTTACTTTGGCATTACTGTGAATAAATTATTGTATTTCCTATAGAATCTACAGGAGAAAGGGTCTGAATCTTCACATTGGCTGGATGACAAGAGATAAATTCTGTTTTATTAATAAGATTTCATGAGGCACTGTCAACTAATGTTTACATTGCTAAAATGTTATTCCTTAATATTTTACTTAATGTTAAAGTTAAGTTTTTATAAGGATGAGACAAATTTGGGGAAATTTTAGTGTTCTTTTTCTACTACATATATAACAACTGGTAATTGGAATATTAAGTTAAGCTCTTTTTAAAAGATTTCCTGACCAAAAGCCCATTAGAAATTAAAGGAGATTTTTTTTTAATGTTTATTTTTGAGAGAGAGAGAGAGAGAGAGAGAGAGAGGTGTGAGCTAGTGGGGGAGAGGCAGAGAGAGAGGGAGACAGAGGACATGAAGCAGGTCATCAGTTCTACCAATACACTGACAGCAGAGAGTCTGATGTGGGATTCGAACTCATGAGCTGCAAGCTCATGACCTGAGCCAAAGTCAGACACTTAACCAGCTAAGCCACCCAGGTGCCCCTAGATTAAAGGAGATTTTTTAGTACTATATGTAAAGAATTGGAACTCACTTTATAACCACTTTCCTCTGGCTTTTAATTGAAAAAAATTAATGCATAGTTAATTAAAAAAAAAAAGTCCTCTTACCCTTCAAAATAATTGAATCATCATCCCATTATTGAGGAAAAAACAACTTACTGTTTTGTAAGTTTTATATTTGCACACGTAGATTCTTGTTTTGTTTAGCTGAAAAACAGGAATCATATTGCTTTGAATCTGATTTCTTTTAATGAATGATATATTACAAATACCACCATCTTAATACAAATTATGATTATAATGACTGCAATAGTGTTCTATTTTATGTGTAATTTACTTAACTAGTCTACTTGGATGAAATATTTAGATTATTTCCAGCTTATTTGCTATTATAAGTAATACTGTATTTAATATTTTTATATTCTTCCATCTGTACCCCTATCTAAAAATTCTGTAGGATATTGGTAGAATTGATGAATTATCAGTTGCCCTCCAGAAAGTTAATTTTCATTCCTTCCAGAAATAAGTAGGGTTATTCATTTTCTCACAGCCAAGCCATTTTAAGAAGTATTCTTATTTTTTTAATCTTTGACAGTTGTTTTTCTCTTTTGAAAATATATCAGTTGGGGGCGCCTGGGTGGCTCATTCTGTTGAGCGTCCGACTCTTGATTTTGGCTCAGGTCATGATCTCACAGTTTGTAGGTTCTAGCCCCATGTCAGTCTCTGTACTAACAATGTGGAGCCTGCTTGGGACGCTCTTTCTCCCTCTCTCTCTGCCCCTCCCCAACTCATGCTCTCTATCAAAATAAACAAACATTTAAAAAAAAAAAAGAAAATGTATCCGTGGACAGACTAAATGACAATTTGTGGGAATCTGAAATATTACATATTATGGCATGTTTTAAATTTTAATAAAGCACAAACATCATTGTTAGTGGCTTATGCTGCTAAAAAGGCATAAAAGTAAGGAATGCAAGTGGATAATGAATAAAAGAATAACTGGTAACAAATCATTTAAAACTTTAAATATAGGGTAAAAGACTCAAATTTTCTGAATATTAAAATGGTTCATAAATAGTAACTGAAGCTGAGAAGCAACAAGTTTGTGTGACTGAACAAAGAGGCAGCCTTTGAAATTTTCTACATGGGAAAAGGAGTATGCTAGCCCATCTCAGAAGGAAACCAGAAAAGCCAGAAAAGGAGCATTTAAGAATATTTAAAGACCCCCCCATCCATTTATATAGATTATTTTCAATTAGAATAGTAATAGTAGCATAAAAATGTGGAGCACAGTATTCTTTTTTTCTGATTGTGAGACTTTTTGACATTAGTGCTGCGAGCTAATGTCTTATGTTGGAAAAAGTACTAGACCTGAACCTTAGATTGATCTTCAAGCCTTGTAACTTAATCTTTCTGGAGATCACTTTGCTCATGTATAAAATGACCAAAGCATTCACCTAAGGGTCTTTATAAACATCAGTGAAACTTTATTTATTTAAGAAAGTTAACTGAGCACTTACAGTGTGCTAGACATCGTCCTAGGCTCTGTGGATATGTCAGTGAAGAAAACAAACAAAAATTCCTGCCCCAAGTTTCTATTTTAGGAAGGAAGACCGGTAATAAACATAATAAATTTATGTTAATAAGTATAATGAACTAAAACAGGTTAAGAACTATTTTGTACAGATGATTTTTAAATAAGAATATTAGGATAGACCTCACTGCAAAGGTGACATTTGACTAGTGACCTGAAGAACAGGAGGGAATGAATCATGTAGATATTTGAGAAGAAGAGTATTCCAGATAGGTAATAGACAAGCCTCTAGGGTTAAAAATATGCCTGGATTATTTGAGGAATAAATTGAGGAAGACAGTGTGGTGGAAGTAGAATGAGTAGGGCGATTGTGGGAGGAGATGAGGTCAGAGTGATAAGAAGGGGACAGCTGGTGAAGAGTCTTTGGCTTTTACCCTGAATGAAAGGAAAAGCATTGAAAGATTTTATGTAGAAGAATAATAACACACTCAGTCTTCTTTTAATAAAACCATTCTGGGTTTTCTTCCAAAAGAACTGAGTAAAAGGTTGTGGCTGTTTTCACTTTGATGAGGAATTCTTCAGAAACAACAGGTTCGTGTGTTGGGAAAGATGAGTTCAGTTCAGTGCACTTTAGGTTTTAGAGATCATCTGTTAGCATTTGGAGGAAAGGCATGGGCCGATTATTACCTTTATGAGTCATCAACAAGGAAAAGGAATTTGCTTCAAGAGCGTGAGAAGAGTAGAGAGATGTCAGGCCTTCTCTGAAGACCATCACCATTTGAGGGAAGGTGGAGGAAGAGACACTCCATAAAAGAGATCAAGAAGGCCCAGTAAGATTCTGGATAAGCTTTGAAGATTGCACCAACAGAATATCTTGATGGACTGGACATGGGTAGGAGAGGAGAGCACTCAGGGAGCAGCTAGGGCATCTTGAGAATCTTGTCTGCTACTAATTTCAACATACAATAAAAGTCCCATTTTATTTTATTTATTTTATTTTATTTTATTTATTTTATTTTATTTTATATTTATTTTATATTTGTTATTGTTTTAAGATTTTATCTTTACGTAATCTCTACCCCCAGTGTGGGGCTTCAATTCACAACCCCGAGATCAAGAATCACATGCTCTATCGACTGAGTCAGCCAGGCACTCCTGTTTTAGATACTTGAAAAAAACATAGACCACTTTTTATACCAACTCTTAGATGAATTCAGGAGTTTGAGGAACACTGATACATTGCAGGCAGAATAAACAGAAGTTGTTTTATATGAATTGAGTAGAGCATGAAAATTACCTTTTTAATTTAAATTTCATATTAGATACCTAGTATTTCATTATATGAAACCTTACCCTATACTACTGGGCTAGCTTGTTTATTTCTGGTGTTCTTATGGAAAACATTTATGTATTCTGTTAAAATATAAATTTAGAGGGAGAGAAGTATATTGTATGCCAAGAAATCTGTCTTTATTCTTAATGGTACTGCACAATACAGTAAATAAAGTGCCACTATTATTTTTTCTTGTAACGTTCAAGTTTCCAAATTTGTCGATGATTTGGGGGTAGAAAGGAGCAAAAGAAAAACTTTTTTATAGGATTAATTCCTGTTCCTTTCAGTACAGGGTCCAGTTGTTGGCCTAAATAGAATTCTAGATCGCAGACATAAGTCCAATGATAAGTTTTTGCAGGCTAAAGAAAGCTTAGAAAAAAGATGAGTGAAAACATACCTTCCGGGAAAATGGGTTTCTTGACTGGATTTAATAGGATGGTAGGCACGTTGGTTAGGTTATTTCAGGTAGCAAAGGACAAAGACATTCTTAGGATCCCTCACTAGAAGAGAAATGATTATGAGAATATCCAGAGAATTAAGGCATTCCCTCAGCATTTGGACAGTGAGGCCTAATGGAGAATCGTTTAGCGTCTTAGAACAATTCTAGTGAGGAGCCACTATAATAGCTTTCCTTGTAACTCAGCCTCTTGTCTTTCTGCTTCTTTCCACCTACTTCTCCTGTTCTGCTGGTTATTACAGTCTCTGCTTTCCCTAACCTAGCATCCATCCATCCATCCATCCATCCATCCATCCATCCATCCATGCGTGGGTGGGTGGGTGGGTGGGTGGAAGGAAGGAAGGAAGGAAGGAAGGAAGGAATCGATAGATGTAGCTTCAGTAAATAAATAGGTAGGTAGATAGGAACAAAGGAAGGCAAAGAGGGGTAGGAAGGGAAGGAATCTACCTACCATGTTGTGCCTTCTGTTTACTGACTTGTGTGTTTTGTGTGCCTTTTGTGTCCTTGTGTATCTCACGTTCAGATTCTTTAAGAGAGTACCTTCTTAGAGAGGGCTCCCTGGAGATAGTATCCCTATTGGGAATAATTCTGCCAGGACACTTTATAAACTGATCAAGCTTGAGAGGATTGCTTTCGTCTCAGGTGCAAAACTGGTCTAAACCATTTTGGACAAGATGGTAGAGTAACATGACCTCTGCCCAAGGAGCTCTCTCATCCGAGGGCTTAAAGGCTAACTGACAATCATGGCACTTATCTGATACAATACAGCTGTAATATTTTGCTAGTCTTTGCCCTGCTTGAAATACAGGTATTCTATCACTGAGATTAACTCTTAAAGACAGGAAATTATTGATGCCATCAGCCTGGACACCATTGTGAAAGTCTCATTATTTTCCTCACCCAAATGAAATTGTCTTCTCTACTTATTCTCTATACAATATTTTGAAAAACATCCTAACTTATTAGTTATTAATAAATCCATATATAATTATAACAATGGGATAGTATCTTATTTAAATAGATAAATAGTCCCAAGCAGACTTTTATTCTTTTGTAGAACTAACGCATTGTTTCTTTTTTAGCTCTTATATTGGCCAAATTCGTTGTCTGAACCTCAGTTTCTTATCTGTTTTTTAAAAAATGATAATAAAACATCGTCATCGTAACGGGGATAAATGAACTAATATATGTAAAATACTTGATACATTGTCTAGCATATAACACATACTTGATAAGTGGTTGCTACAATTGTTATTGTTATTGACTGAGACAGGAAATAATCTTGTTAAAAATATTTGAGCAATTTAAAAAATATATATATATTCAATCAGTGTCCATGATACTTGTGAAAAGAAAGTATACTCATGTCTGTTTCTGACCTGTTAAGGACCTCTAATGGAATGTATATTGCACAAATCTAATCAAGTATTTTTATTTTATCTCTACTTATTTCTCATGAAACATATTTGGCTCTTTTGCAGTTTTGTTATGTAAAATATTTGACATTTTCACTATGTTTTGTAGTTGATTTAATCTTAGCTTGTAGTTTTAAGAAGAGGGTAGGAGGTACTCCTACCCAGTCTCTCACTCCACAGCTGCCTGTGACCTCCTGGCATCACCATGACATCTCCAGGAACTCCACAGCTGTACTGTCTCCATGGCAGTATTCTTACTTCTGGATTCCCAAACACAGGGGTGTTTTTTTTTTTTTTTAGATATCTACAGTGACTCCTTAGACACAATATTCTACTCCAGGTCTGAATGACATTTCTGATGTTTTCCCATAACTCCAGACAATTATTGTTCTTGTTTACATTTTCTAGGTTTGAAGAAAAGGCCCAAATGGATCCCCTTAGTGCTCTGAAATATTTACAAAACGATCTTTATATAACTGTGGATCATTCAGACCCAGAAGAGACAAAAGAGGTAAAAGTGATAATAAACTTCAGAAAGTGAGCATTAAAAGAAAAAAAGTCTTTCTAACTCTTGCTTGCTGATTTTGCTCTTAGATGTTTAAAGGAAAATGGGGAAAATGGGATGACACTAATAATTTTTAAAATGGCATAAGCAGGGGGTACCTGGATGGCTCAGTCGGTTGGGTCTCTGACTCTTGATTTCAGCTCAGGTCATGGCCTTTCAGTTTGTGGGTTCGAGCCTGCGTCAGGCTCCACACTGACAGCATGGGGCCTGCTTGGCGTGCGCGCTCGCTCTCTCTCTCTCTCTGCCCCTCCCCTGCTTATGCACACGTGCACATGCACACTCGCTCGCTCGCGCTCTCTCTCTCTCTCTCTCTCTCTCTCCATCTCTGAAAAAAAATAATAAAGTGGCACAGAGCAGATGAAATAAAAATTGAAAAGGCTTACTTGCATGTGATAACAAAAGGTTCAGGTCACACACAAAGCCCTTGATCCATTCAGAAAAGGATTCTCAGGTTTAAAATTTTAATTTAGACTTTAGTTTTGTGTGTTGGGAAGCAAATAGAAATTTTTGCTTTCATAGTCCCATGCCTCTTTCACTTAAGGATTACATGCCTCAGTTTGAGTCTTTTTTTTTTTTTTTTTTTTTAAGAGAGAGAGAGAGTGTGAGCAGGGGAAAGGGGCAGAGGGGGAGAGAATCACACACGGGACTTGATCCCATGACCCTGGGATCATGACTTGAACCAAAATCAGAAGTCAGATGCTCAACCGACTGAGCCTCCCGCATGTCCCTGAACTTTTCTGTTGGTACTCCAAAATCCCTTAAGAGAAGAAAGAAAACTCTCCTCTTTTGTAGGGACAAAGTGAAGAGAGGTTGGTAGGAGTTAGAATCCCTTCTACCTTGATGTCATAGCAGGATAGTTGGACTACATTCTACTGACTTCATTCATTAGGAGTCCCTAACTTTGAGAATTAATAGCAGGTCATTACTTTTCAGGGATTTGTTGTTGTGGTGGTGGTTACCTAATATGGGAGGGAAGGAGAAGATATAATATTTTTAGGGGTAATCTGTACCCCCATTGTGGGGAATATTTGCTTATCTGTGGTGTGTGAATATACCTGCAGTGAATTTCATAGTCATAGCTGGTCTTCCTACTAACTTCTGAGATTCTTTTGTCACTTTAACTTTTGCCAAGCATCCTTGTTCATAGTTCATCTTGCAACATCTGAACTGCAATCCATTTTACCTTCTACTCACAGAATTGGTGCTGACGATATCTAGTTCTGTCCTTTCCATCTACTTCCCTGTTATCTGTTGTTTCACTTTGGCTTTGTAATAGCAACATCAGGCAGTGCTTTTCTTTGTTCCCCAGTAACACAGGCTTCTGATTTAATGTCAAATCACTTTCAGGTACCAGGTTCATTGTACTTTCAAGCAGTAGAACCTGTGTGTCCTTGGCACCAAAACAAAGAGCTTCTCTTTCATGGTTGCTCTTATGTAGTATTGTTTGTAACCCTTCCCTAGGTGGAGAATCAGCAGAACACAATTTAGGACCATCTGAAGGTGGACAGTTAATTGTCTTCCTTGTGTCTTCAATCAATTCATGATACTATTTGAAATGGGGAATTATCCCCAAGTAGCAGAATATGTTTGGTTTAATCTGTTATGGCTTATAACTGAACATAGTTGTAAAGAGCCCATTAATGTGCATTGTATTAGACCAGGCATTTGAACGTTATAAATAAATTTCCTTGTGTTTTCTCCATAGTTATTCTGACATGGCTGTTACCGGGAACATTCATTTTTCTCTTATTTTTTGTTTTGGTTTGTTTTGTTTTCTCTTATTTTTTAAAACCAAGCCAGAACAGAGGCTCCTGGGTGGCTCAATGAGTTAAGCATCCGACTTCAGCTCAGGTCAGGATCTCACGGTTTGTGAGTTTTAGCCATGAGTCCGGTTCTGCGCTGACATTGCAGAATCTGCTTGGGATTTTCTCTCTGCCCCTCCCCGCCCCCGTTTCTCTTTCTCTCTCAAAAAACACCCAACGACTTAAAAACTTAAAACAAAATATTGCAAAGTAAATAAATTCAATTGTGCCAGCTGCAAGTAGGCCAAAGAGAACAGTTCGTTCTTAAAGCTAAGCTAATGGGAAAAGCCAGGACAGGGAGGTATCTTGAGTTCAAATTGAGCCATTTTTTAAATTTTGGTAGCAGGTTTCTCTTTTTATCGCTTCCTCAGTAGTTTCAAATTATGATTTTGTATGCCACAGACTTCCATTCCATTTCTTTTTAAAAAAAAAAATTTTTTTTTTAACGTTTTATTTATTTTTGAGACAGGGAGAGACAGAGCATGAACAGGGGAGGGTCAGAGAGAGGGAGACACAGAATCTGAAACAGGCTCCAGGCTCTGAGCTGTCAGCACAGAGCCCGACGCGGGGCTCGAACTCACGGACCGCGAGATCATGACCTGAGCTGAAGTTGGCCGCTCAACTGACTGAGCCACCCAGGCGCCCCCCATTCCATTTCTTAATAGCTGTATCTGTTAAGAGTTGTTTAGCCCTAGTTGAAGTTAGTTAAAATGGTGCTGTGCACATGTGTGTCAGCATCTGAATCACTTCTAAACTTTTTCAAAACAATACCCTTACCCTAAGATGCTCTGTCTGCTCTTATGTAACAGAAAACTGAAAACACTCCTGACATTGAGAATTACTGGTCTGTGAGATTATTATTTTGTTTTAAAATGTGTGAATGGATTTTGTTTTGGTAAAAGAAATCCCTTGGTGACAGTTCTAGGATATATACTCACAGTATTTGTTAGTAAGGCATAGAGATCTTCACTCTCCTTATAACATACTGTTCCACTTATCAAAAACAGACCTTACTGCTGTTTTCTGTAGTAACTTGTTTTTGTTCCCTGTGTATTAAATGATTGTATCAGCAACTAAAAGTGGTTCTCTTTTGGGGGGCACCTATTATGATGATGATCATCATTGTGCCTATATTGGAATGATGGTGGATTACCAGCTATATACCAAATAATGATTCTTTGCTTTCTTTCAGTCTCCAGAACATGGATTCTAAATTGGCAATGAGGTCCTGATAAACCTTATGAAAATCATATAATTTTCTAGAAAAGGCCCAAGAGAAGGTTGCCTAAATTATTTCTGCCATTTTCAGAAGATTCTATAATAGAGAAGGAATGAGAAAAACAAGTTTTCAGCCAGTATTACCCATTTTGTATTAATTATATTTCTACTGAGCTTCCAAAGTACTGGTGTCATTCATTTAACCAATGTGTATTAAGTCCTTACAATATGCCAGGCATTCTTCTAGGCACAAGAGGTACATTAGTGAACCAAGCAAAATACCTTCCTGGGTGGTAATTACTACCACTGAGGAAAGACAATAAACTATTATATAGCAAATTATAAAGTACAGTTTATAAAGTATATAAGTTATATAGTACACTGGAAATAGGTATAATAAGAAAATTAAAAAGAGATAAAAAGGGTAAATAAAGGGAGATCAGAGTTAGAAGGGGTGAGAATTAGGCAGTTGCAGTATTAAGTAGGATGATCATAACAGGCCTCATTTAGAAATGAGCTGCACACAAACACTTGAAGGGTGTGAGAGAGTCTAAGCAGCTAATTTGGGGAAGATAATTCCTAGCAAAGGGAGGGCTAGAACAAGGACCTGAGGGTGGGAACATTCTGGCTTTGTGTAGAACAGCAAGGAGGCCACTGTGGCTAGAGCAGAGGTAAAAATGTTCAGAGGAGTCAGAGATGAGGTCGGAGAGGTAAGAGCAGGGATTGGGAAATCCTATGGTGAATGACTTCTTAAGTCACTGTTAGGACTTTGGTTTTCACTCTGAATGAATAAGGAGCCAGTTAAGGAGTGATAAGATCTGCTTTATGTCTTACCTAAGATCACTAAGATCTAAGCTTATTCTGACTGCTGTATTGAGAATAGACTAAAGGAGAATAAGAATGGAGGCAGAGAGACCTATAAGGGAGACCACAGAAATTCTAAGGAAGGCATTATTGTAGCTCAGACCCAGTAGCAGCAGTAGAAATAGTGAGAAGTAGAGTAGATCAGATTCTCAGTAGATGTTAACGGTGGAATCACCAGTGGGAATGCAAACTCTGGTGCAGCCACTGTGAAAAACCGTGTAGAGTTTCCTCAGAAAGTTAAAAGTAGAACTACCCTATGATCCAGCATTTGCACTACTAGATATTTACCCAAAGAATACAAAAATGCTAATTTAAAGGGATACATGCATGCACTTTGATATTTATAGCAGCATTATCTATAATAGGCAAATTATGGAAACAGCCCATGTGTGCATCGATTGATTGTGTGTGTGTGTGTGTGTGTGTGTGTGTGTACACGTATACACAGTGGAATATTATCAGCCATAAAAAAGAATGAAATCTTGCCATTTGCAATGACATGGACAGATCTAGAGAATATTATGCTAAATGGATAAGTCAGAGAAAGACAAATACCATATGATTTTATTCAATGTGTGGAATTTAAGAAACAAAATAAGTGAGCAAAGGGGGAGAAAAAGGAGAGGCAAACCAAGAAACAGACTCTCTCTTTTTTTTAAGTAATCTCTGCACCCAACATGGGGTTCAAACCCATAACCCAGAGATCAGGAGTCACACCCTCTACCACCTGAATCAGCCAGGTGCCCCAAAAGACTCTTAACTATAGAAAACAAACTAACGGTTACCAGAAAGGAGGTGGGTGAGAGTGGGTTAAGTCAATGATGGAGATTAAGGAATGCTCTTGAGATGAACACGGTGATGTATGGAAGTGTTGAATCAAGTGCTGTACACTTGAAACCAATATTACACTGTATGTTAACTAACTGAAAATTAAAAACTTTTTTAAAAAGTAGAACCAACATGGGGTGGGTGGCGCAGTCGGTTAAGCGTCCGACTTCAGCCAGGTCACGATCTCGCGGTCCGTGAGTTCGAGCCCCGCGTCGGGCTCTGGGCTGATGGCTC